AGAAAGTTATTAAAATTTCAAAAACTTTAACCACAGAGTGAATATTTGTGGACGCCGCCGCCGACGACAACGACGACGACGACGGAATGTAGGATCGCTATGTCTCGCTTTTTCGACTAAAGTCGAAGGCTCGACAAAAAGCTTCGCTGAGCGCAGCCTAATACGACCGCAGAGGTCGAACCCTGAACAGTTGGGCAAATTTGGATACAATATTCAAGCTTGATACTGTCTGAATTTGGATTGTGATCAAATTTTTGACATAATATAGGTTTCTGACACAAAACAAATGTGGTCAAAGATCTTATAAATCCATTGCGTAATACTGTGCAAGTGAAGATTTCTTCTTGAAACTTTTTCAAAAATTCGAAATTTTAAACATTTTATAAAAATAATATGAATCCCTTAAAAAAATTGGGAAAAAAATCCCCCCCCCCAACTTTTTGAAACCTCCCTTGGAGCAATAACCCCAAAACTCAATCCCAGCCTTTCCTTTGTAGTATGGAACCTTGTAGTACAATTTCAGAGAGATCCATAAACTTACACACAAGTTATTGTCTGGAAACTAGAAAAAAGCTTGTTTTTGGTCCTTTTTGGCCCCTTATTCCTACATGTTTGGGGCAATTAACCCCAAACTCAATCCCATCCTTCCCTTTGTTATATGGAACCTTGTGGTACAATGTCAGTGAGATTTATACACTTACACACAAGTTATTGTCTGGAAACTAGAAAAATGCTTGTTTTAGGCACCTTTTTGGCCCTTAATTCCTAAACTGTTGGCCCCCATAACCCCTAAAATGAATCCCAACCTTTTACTTGTGGTATTAAACATTGTGGTACAATTTCAGAGCAATTGAAATACTTATACACAAGTTATTATCCTGAAACTAGATAATGCTTGTTTTGGGCCCCTTTTCTTTTATAGTATTAAACCTTCTTAAAAACTTTCATAGAGATCCATTCACTTAAACTAAAGTTATTGTCCGGAAACCAATGTGTCTTCAGACGACAACCCAGACGACGACGACATCATACCATTATACGATCCCAAAAATTTTTTTGCAGTCGTATAAAAAGGTGGGGGGAGGGTGTTAACAAACTGTGTACATTGTTGTACATGAAGCTTAAGCTTTTCTTATTCAAACAATACCAATACTGACAAAGCACTTTTTAACCGGATTTTCAAAAGAAAAATCGGTTATTGATTAGGGGATGTACAGCGGGCGGGCAGGGCGGGTGGGGCGGGCAGGCGGGGCAGCTGCCAAACAGTGTCCATTCATTAACATGAAAACGCTTTGACGAAATTATTTCAAATTTAGATATGTTGTTTACTGTGACTAAATGAAGGTCAAGTTCAATTTTCACGATTTTATCTCCTTGTTGAGTTAAAGCCCTTTCCCAAGAATTCAATTTTTGATGAAATTCTTATTCATTACTCCATTCTGTTCAAAAGGAAATAACTCATTTTTAAAAAGATTTTTAAAAGACATTGTATGAATGATAAATGACATTTTGGATTTTTTTTTCTTTTCTTTGGTAAATTGTTTGAAGAATTTTGTGGTAGGTTTGTTTGTTATTCTGTATAAACTAATTTTCTGAATGCTATGTATATAAATTTTTTTTGATGAAGTGAACTCCTTTAATTAGATAATAATCTATTTTTTTTAAGGATATATTTTATTACATTACATTGTGTAGATAAAGTTGTTGACATTGATAGATAAGCTGCAGATCTATATTAGTTTGTGACAAATGAAAGAAAAATATTTGGAACTTTTAATTATATTTGATTATAATTTGAAAATAGATATACATTGTGTAACATCATATCTAATTTAGGAAAATAGTGGTTAAATCATATCTAATTTTGGAGAACTATGTGTGAATAATTTATTCAGTTGAGTTATTTCCCTTTGAACAGAAAATTATATGGATAAAATTAAACTGTGTTTTTTGCAACATAAATTAAATATATATAGGGTTCTTTCAAATGCTGAATCTAAACCGGTATTTAAATATTAGATTTATGGGCCCAGTTTTCAAGTTGGTCCAAATCAGGGTCCAAAATTAAACTTTGTTTGATTCAACAATAAAATGGTCCGCTTGGGCGCAGCTTGATACGACCGCAGAGGGTGAACCCTGAACAGTTGAGGCAAGTATGGACACAACATTCAAGCTTGATACAGCACTGAATTTGGATTGTAATTAAATATTTGACACAGCATAGGTTTCTGACACAGAATGAATGTGGTCTAAGAACTTGTAAAATTTTTAATTTTTAATTTACCTATTCAAACCATATCATTATTATTTGATTTTATATATAAATCAGAAATAACCAATTTAAAATGGAAAATTTTAAAGAAAAAAAAGGAAAAGAAATCCCCCCCCCAATTTTTTGAACCCCCTTATGATTCATCACCCCCAAACTCAATCCCAGCCTTCCCTTTGTGGTATGGTACCTTGCAGTACAATTTCAGAGAGATCCATACACTTGAACACAAGTTATTGTCTGGAAACTAGAAAAAATGCTTGTTTTTTGGTCCCTTTTTGGCCCCAAATTCCTAAACGTTTTGGGCAATTACCCCCAAACTCAAACCCAGCTTTCCCTTTGTGATATGGAACCTTGCAGTACAATTTCATAAAGATCCATACACTTACACACAAGTTATTGTCCTGAAACTAGAAAAATGCTTGTTTTTTGCCCCTATATGGCCCCTAATTCCTAAAATTTTGAGGGAATTACCCCCAAAATCAATCCCAGCATTCCCTTTGTGGTATGGTACCTTGCAGTACAATTTCAGAGAGATCCATACACTTGAACACAAGTTATTGTCTGGAAACTAGAAAAATGCTTATTTTTGGCCCCTTTTTGGTCCCTTATTCCTAAACGTTTTGGGCAATAACCCCCAAACTCAATTCCAGCTTTCCCTTTGTGATATGGAACCTTGTAGTACAATTTCATAAAGATCCATACACTTAAACACAAGTTATTGTCATGAAACTAGAAAAATGCTTGTTTTTTGCCCCTTTTTCCTTAAAATTTGGAGGCAATTACCCCCAAAATCAATCCCAGCATTCCCTTTGTGATATGGAACCTTGTGGAACAATGTCAGAGAGATCCATACACTTACACACAAGTTATTGTCATGAAACTAGAAAAATGCTTGTTTTTTGCCCCTTTTTGGCCCCTTACTCCTAAAATTTGGAGGCAATTACCCCCAAAATCAATCCCAGCATTCCCTTTGTGATATGGAACCTTGTGGTACAATGTCAGAGAGATCCATACACTTACACACAAGTTATTGTCATAAACTAGAAAAATGCTTGTTTTTTGCCCCTTTTTGGCCCCTAACTCCTAAAATTTGGAGGCAATTACCCCCAAAACCAATCCCAGCATTCCCTTTGTGATATGGAACCTTGTGGTACAATGTCAGAGAGATCCATACACTAACACACAAGTTATTGTCATGAAACTAGAAAAATGCTTGTTTTTTGCCCCTTTTTGGCCCCTTACTCCTAAAATTTGGAGGCAATTACCCCCAAAATCAATCCCAGCATTCCCTTTGTGATATGGAACCTTGTGGTACAATGTCAGAGAGATCCATACACTTACACACAAGTTATTGTCATAAACTAGAAAAATGCTTGTTTTTTGCCCCTTTTTGGCCCCTAACTCCTAAAATTTGGAGGCAATTTCCCCCTAAAACCAATCCCAGCATTCCCTTTGTGATATGGAACCTTGTGGTACAATGTCAGAGAGATCCATACACTAACACACAAGTTATATATAATTATGTCTGGAAGTTACAAAAATGCTTATTTTTGGCCCCTTTTTGGCACTTAATTCCTTAACTGTTGGTACCATAACCCCCAAAATCAATCCCCACCTTCCTTTTGTGGTATTGAACCTTATGGTAAAATTTCATAGAGATCCATTTACTTAAACTAAAGTTAGAGTGCGAAAAACTAATGTGTCTAAGGACGACGACGAGGGCGATGACGCCAACGACGGCCGTATAAAAATTGAATTTATGGGGTTCTTCGAAATGCTGAATCTAACCATGTATTTAGAGATTTTGGATTAGGGGTTCCTTAACTTTATCAAATTGGTCCACATTGAGGTCCAAAGGGTTCTAAATTAAACTTTTGTTTTATTTCATCAAAAATTGAATTCTTGAGGTTCTTTGATATCCTGATTCTAACAATTTACTTAGATTTTGGTTATTGGACCATAATAGGTAAATGTCCAATTTCAAATTTTTCAGTTCTTTGACCACATTCATTTTGTGTCACAAACCTATGTTGTGTCAAATATTCAATCACAATCCAAATACAGAGCTGTTTTAAGCTTAAATGTAGTGTCCATACTTGCTCAACTGTTCAGGGTTCGACCTCTGCGGGAAATCCAGTTGGCTGTCACTCTGACAGCCTCTTGTCTTCAACATGTTTAAGGTCAGGAGTACATTAACTTATTTTCTATGATTTAGTGGCTCTTTTAAACAATTGCAATACCTTATGACAACAAAAAGTCAAAAGAACTTCATTGCAAATCAAATCAAACCAATAATAGGCATATTTTCAATTTCCATATATGTACAAATATAACAAAAAACCAAAACCAATAAATCTACTATTTTTCACAAATGTTGAAGAAAAATCCTTGTCCCAGACATTTCAATTGAAACTGTTTAGTTGGTTGGACTATAAGTGACCTCAGGACATCATTAACATTGAATGGCATCTGACATAGTACAGTTTATAGTACAGTTTATGAATGAAAAAAGAATATAACTATTTTTCTATAAACCATATGAAACCTGAAATCTATTACTTCTGACTTTACTCTACAGAGGTAGGTTTAATAGACTAAAAAATCCAACAGTCAAATATCAGAATCAAAACTGTAATGGTTCACTAATTTGTCCTTTGGTTTTAAACTGGATAGATGTTTCATTGCCAATTATACCACATCTCCTTTTTATTTAATTCAAAATCCAAACTTTTCATTTTCATATTTAAATTATTAGCAAGTGTAAGGTATAACAGTATGCTGGATAACAAACAGCATATTACTTTACTATATTTAAATATTTAGTTATTTCTTAAACCTTTTCAAAGATAAGTCCTGGAAATTGTCCGATTTCCTTTGAGGTTAAGTTAAGACAAGTAATGTCCGTAACAAAATCTATCTGAAGTCCATTTTTCAAAACGGGTGAAACGCCATTTACTCCATAGAAACTAGCTTGACCTGTAAATAATGCCCTAATAGTATAAACTTTTCCAGAGTCAATCATTACTGCTGGCCTCACATCAAATTCGTAAACCTTTGTAGCTCCATCTGTGGCCATGCTTGTTTGCACTGCATGAACTCTTTCTAAGTCAGAACCTCTAATTCCAGTATCTTTTAGTATTTCTAGCTTTATTTGATAAGAACCTGGCCTCTGGTGGCTTCCATATATCAACATTCCATGCAGTTTTAGATTTTGGGAGGATATAAATGATACACCATCTTTGTTTTCTCTTGTATATGCTTTCCCGCTTTGAGTTGCTGTAAATCTTTCTACGATAATGCGCTGATCCCTCTCAATAAAATATCCCAATCTAACTCTTTCCCTGTGTTCTAAAGAATACCTCTGTACTGTTTCAACAGGACGAATACAATCAGTAACTTCAGGAATATCTTGAGATGAACGTGAAGAAGTTGAGGTTTCCATTGGGTTGGAACGAGGATGCAGAACTCTGGGATTGCTTTGAAATGATGTAAATGAACTAGGAAGACCTTGGCCGGCTCCAGACGAAGTGCTGCTTGCCCCATGATCAAATACTCGACTGCTACTATTTGATGTCAATGTACTTGACACTGAATTTGAGTCATCGGGAGTTGCAACCAATCCACGCTTTTTCTTGATAAGTCCAGAGTTATTGCCTAACTCTGCTAATTCTTCCATTATATCAACATAACTTTCACTACTTAGAAATTTTTTACACTTTTCTTTCACATATTTGTGTTCCATCAAACCAAATCGCACAAGTTTTACGATATCTCCAAGTACTTGGTTCTGATGTGGTAAATTTATGCTCAAATTTTGACGAACACACTCTTTTTCTGACCACTTGACCAAAGTCTCAAAGATTAATTCTTCCTTTACATGAAAACGATCATCTGCAATTATTGCTTGCAAATGCTGTGGTTGCAATTGTAAGAAACCACTGGTTTCAATGATGTGCTGTGGGAATCTAAATATAAAATCTACACATTTTTCTTTCAGCTGAATATCAGTAGCATGGTTCAGGACGATACATACACTCTCTATGGATACACCAGTTTTCATCTTCTGCATACATAGAGCCTCTAAACCAGATATCTTGTATTTTTTGGCTGCCGCCAGTAAACCTGCAGCATCACTATCATCAACATCAACACTGTCACAATAAATGAAGCTAAAATATAAAATATATAAAGGATGACTTACTACTAGTGTCATCTAGAATTATACTAAAATTTCCTCAGAATAGGACTAAAATAATTTGTGTCCTACATTATAATAATCAATCAGTGAACAGTTTCCTAGAGATCTTTTACAGCAAGAAATTTAAGGATATAATTAATGTTTTTTTTTTTATTTCTGCAGACCTTTCAGCCATAAGTTACATTTAACTTTGTGAAAAAAACTATAAAAAAAGATATACCCTTCATAAGATGTCTCACAATATCAATTGTATAATTTACATAGAAAAGTTTTTTATTCAAAATATTTTTTTTACAAAATATATATGTAGGACTCTAAAGTGCGATGGTTATGCTAAAGTGCGATGGTCTACGCTAAAGTACGATGGTGTCTTACGCTAAAGTGCGATGATTGCTAGTTTGCTAAAGTACGATGGTATAGCACGCTAAAGTGCGATGATTGCTAGTTTGCTAAAGTACGATGGTGTCTCACGCTAAAGTGCGATGATTGCTAGTTTGCTAAAGTACGATGGTATAGCACGCTAAAGTACGATGGAACAATAGGGTAAGGTTTGAGGGCTTAAAACATTCAGTAATGTGCATGGATGTTAAAAACAAGTCTTTTTGCAAAAGCTAGCGTGCTAAGGTATAACATATGTAATAGGCTTTATGATTGACCGGTAGGCTAAAGTGATTGTTTCTAAATTTAGAAGACCGACCACGTAATCATTGCTTAAAAGGTCATTTATGTGTCAAAAAATACTGTATTTCTTGTTAAATGATTTTTTAACAATTTCTTTCGTATTAAATATATGGATAATTGGTGTAGCTTGCCGCTCACAAAGTCTATCAATAACTTTACAGTCGTCATTGTAAATTACAAATACAAAATGCGTTCATTGTCGGAATAAGTAAGTTAGCATTTATTGATACAAGGCTTCAAGCTTAAATGCGAGAAAAATTCCATATTCGCCGAGCTTTCTCCTTTTTCACAAATACATGTCATATTTTACTACACTGAACAAGCTATATTTAAGCTGACAATTTATAATTTATGCTTAAAAAACATGTACCTTTATTTTACCGACGTTACTTTTCAATAAAATCGACTGACAATATTTTAATGGGGACAGCAAAGTAAACTACAACGTAAACAAATCATATGATTTAATTGTATCTGTTCACTTCCAATAGAAGCAGGATACAGGATACCTATGCATATACTATTTTGTATCTATATAGTAAAATGGTTGACTGCAGCACACAAGTCCTTCTTCCAGCACCCCAAAAAAACACATTGCTTCAGCAGACAAAGCAGGGTTAGGTCTGATATTAAGTCATGGACATTTGATTTAAAAGTTGTTAATCAAATATTCTTAATTTATCTTCCAGCATATTCATTTTTGGTTTGTATAAACAACTGTTAACGTCATAATCAACTACGTTTCTTACGACTATACTTTTGCGGACCATCAGACTTTAGCGTATGGAGGCATCGCACTTTAGCGCAGACCATCGCACTTTAGCGTGACCATTGCACTTTAGCGTCCCCATCGCACTTTAGAGTCCTACATATATATGAAATTAGAATGAAAGAAAAATAAATGTTTATTGATTGTATTAACTTATATTTATACAATAAGTACCATGGAAATGAGTTCATCTTGTACATGTATGGTATTTACATACAATTTACCACTTGATACTAGTATAGAAGTGTGAATATGTCATAATATAGTCATGATGATAATGAAAGAAATGATTCTTTGCAACAGAGCTACTTAAAATATCAATATAAAAACAAGTGTCAGAGATTTATTGTCTAAGATGGTTGTCAAATATGTACCTTTGGTTTTTTCAAATTTAAGACTCCAAGGAGTCTGAAACACTGATCTGCCAAAGATATGCCATATTGATTTACAAAATTTAAACAGAAATAAACCTAAAACTGCATGTGTAACAGAAAAATATCTAAACTTAAAGTTTCTGTTAGCCCAATACCTCTATTCTATTTAAAACATTTTTACAGTGACAATAGGCAAGTTAAAGAAAATTTATATCATAATTATTTCAACAATCAGAAATAAGTTAAACTAATATTCTTGACAATGTTTTGGGCTTTCTTTGATAATAGTACACTGTATAATAATTTTTTTAAATTAATTTCTTGTTTGAAATGTAGTTTCAAAATTTTTAAGACAGTTCAAGGGTGCCTTTATTAATTCTTGGAAATTTAAGTGGTGTTACATTCACAAAGTGCGTAGTATTTAAAATTTCTATGTGCAAAGAGGCATAACTCTGAGATTTGTCAACAGCCTAAATGTGCATCTTAACAATAACCACAATAAACCTATTTCTCGTATCAAACATAAACTAAAAGAACTAGCCAAGGAATTTGTTTTTGTCCCGGCCGATAAAGCTGCTAATAATATTATTATTGTTTGACGTAAATTTTACATTGAGGTTCTGAAAAAAGAAATCACCAACATTCCAACTGACTCCATTTTCAGAAAACGACATCTGTAACAAACATAAACTTTTAGCTACCGCTTTACAAGCAGAACCAAATACAATGAAAGTCCCAACTATGTATTGGCTTCCGAAGCTACACAAAACACCTTACAAATATAGATTCATTTCGTCTTCAAGCCATTGTTCCACTACTAAATTGTCTATTCTTCTTACCAGTACACTTGGTACAATCAAAAACCTGATAATAAATTGTTCAAATAAGGCATTCGAAAATAGTGGAATTAATTACTTTTGGAGTGTCAAGAACTTGTTGGAAGTACTTGATAAATTGCATGCATATATTGGTGATTTTGAATCTGTTCAGAGTTTTGATTTTTCTACCCTATATACCACATTGCCTCATATTCTCATTAAGAAAAAATTCACACACCTAATTAAATGGGCATTTAAAAAGTCAGAATGTGAATATATATGCTCAAACTCTTTTAGGTCATTTTTTAGTAGCAATAAACAAATAAACTATGTCAATTGGACATGCTTTGATACTATATATGCCCTTGAATTATTACTAGATAACATTTTTGTTCGCTTTGGAGATTCCGTATATCGTCAGGTTATCGGAATTCCAATGGGGACTAACTGTGCACCACTTATTGCGGACCTTTTTTTGTATTGCTATGAGTTACAATTTATGACAAAAATCAGCAAAGTCCCATCGAAACAACATCTGATACACAAATTTAATAATACTTTTAGATATTTGGATGATATTTTGGCTCTCAATAATGACGACTTCAGTATGTATACTAAAGAAATTTATCCTGTTGAACTTACTTTAAATAAAGCTAATACTAACAATGACCACTGCCCTTTCCTCGATCTTGATATCTATATCATTAACGGAAAGCTTAATACTAAAATATATGATAAAAGAGATGATTTTATTTCCTATCGTTAATTATCCATTTTTAGATGGTGACGTTCCCTTGTCACCATCTTACGGTGTTTATATATCTCAATTTGTACGATTCGCTCGTGTATGTAACAATGTTTTAGATTTTAACGAGAGAAATTTATGTATTACTGAAAAATTATTACACCAGGGTTTTCGATATCACAAACTAGTCAAAACATTTACTAAATTTTATCATCGGTATAAGGACATCATTCGTAAATATAGCTCAACATGCAGACTTCTTATACGTTCAGGTATTTCACATCCAATTTTTTATGGAAATATTCTTTATAAAGCACAAAAATGTCAGTATTCACCTCTGAAGCTAACAAAACCTTTAAATAGACTTATTAAGAAGGGATATAGTTACGATACTGTTGTCAGGTCATTAAAGATTGCATATTTTGGCGTTAATATTGATTCACTTATAGGGTCTTTGCATCGGCACTAAACACATTTATTTAAAAACCAGTTGTTGGCATGACACGGGTTATGTTCTTCTCATATATGTTATGATGGTATGATACTAAACCCCTAACGGGAAGGATTGTGCCTGATATTCATATGATGAAGACATAATCTTTCAATCAGTTTAATTGAAGTCTGGAGCTGGCATGTCAGTTAACTGCTAGTAGTCTGTTGTTATTTATGTATTATTGTCATTTTGTTAATTTTCTTTGGTTACATCTTCTGACATCAGACTCGGGACTTCTCTTGAACTGAATTTTAATGTGCGTATTGTTATGCGTTTACTTTTCTACATTGGCTAGAGGTATAGGGGGAGGGTTGAGATCTCATAAACATGTTTAACCCCGCCGCATTTTTGCGCCTGTCCCAAGTCAGGAGCCTCTAGCCTTTGTTAGTCTTGTATTATTTTTAATTTTAGTTTCTTGTGTACAATTTGGAGTTTAGTATGGCGTTCATTATCACTGAACTAGTATATATATTTGTTTAGGGGCCAGCTGAAGGACGCCTCCGGGTGCGGGAATTTCTCGCTGCATTGAAGACCTGTTGGTGACCTTCTGCTGTTGTCTGTTCTATGGTCGGGTTGTTGTCTCTTTGACACATTCCCCATTTTCATTCTCAATTTTATCTTCAATGTTAGGATATTTGAATGAACTAAATTCCATATACATCTGATAAGGCATGTAAGAGGATGTGCATCTTCAATGTTAGGATATTTGAATGAACTAAGTTTCATATACATCTGATGAGGCATGTAAGAGGAGTTGCGTCCTCAAAGGGTATACTGCAAGGATAGTATCAAATTGTGTAATATCAGGGGCATACATCTATAAAAACATTATTTAGAAAAAAGTTCTGCATAGTTGACATGTTGTAATTGTTTATTGTTTCTGTCAACCTACTTTAATAATTTCAAAAAAGAGGAAAATTATAAAATAGTTCACAAATCATTTAAGGGCAATAGATCCTGTACAAATAAAATGCCAAGCAAATTTTGTAAAATAATAATTCATTCAGTAAGATGTGTACTTCGTTAGACACCATCCCAACTGACTGACTGGGTAAAATAATCTAAATATACATGTTTAAGGTGGTACCAAACACCTGACTAAAATTAGTTTGGCTTGTTTAATTTTCATAAAACTTTGACAAAATATTAAAAATATTTACTTTGAGCCTTTGAAAGAAATATAAAAATTTCAAAAAAATTTAACCACACACTTTATCAGAAAAATTTCATTGAATATATAGCAGTTAGACAAACACTAATTTTGATCATAGAGAAGCTTAATATTTCCTTAACAATAGAACGTAATTAAAATGTTCAGATGACTTTTACAGAGTTATCTCCCTGTAGTGTTATGTACCACCTTAAACCCGCTGCATTTCTTTGAACCTGTCCTAAGTCAGGAACCTGTTGTTCAGTGTTTTGGTTTGTTGAAGTGGTTCAAAAGTGTTTCTTGTTTTTTATATAGATTAGACCGTTGGTTTTCCTGTTTGAATGGTTTTACTCTAGTCATTTTGGGGCCATTTATATATATAGCTTGCTGTTTGGTTTGAGCCAAGGCTCCATGTTGAAGGCCGTACTTTGACCTATAATTGTCTTTTTACACATTGTGACTTGGATGGAGAGTTGTCTCATTGGCACTCATACCATATCTTCTTTATCTATATTTATGCAGTACTTAATACTGCTTGTTGATTATGATTGATCAATCTTTCAATATCACATAACCTACCTCAACACTTTACCAAAGACAACATGTTCAATATAAGGTACACTGATTACACCTGACATAGCCTACCTCAACATTTTTCCAAAGACAGCAGGTTCAAAATCTGGGACACTGATTACACATGAAATAACTTGCCTCAACATTTTACCAAAGACAGCAGGTTCAACATCTGGTACACTGATTACACCTGACATAACCTACCTCAACATTTTACCAAAGACAGCAGGTTCAACATCTGGTACACTGATTACACCTGACATAACCTACCTCAACATTTTACCAAAGACAGCAGGTTCAACATCTGGTACACTAATTACACCTGACATAACATACCTCAACATTTTACCAAAGACAGCAGGTTCAATATCTGGAACTGATTACACCTGACATAACCTACCTCAACATTTTACCAAAGACAGCAGGTTCAACATCGGGAACACTGATTAAACCTGACATACCGGTAACCTACCTCAACATTTTACCAAAGACAGTAGATTCAACATCTGGTACACTGATTACACCTGACATAACCTACCTCAACATTTTACCAAAGACAGCAGGTTCAACATCTGGTACACTGATTACACCTGAAGATGCTTGGCTCATTAACAAACTCTCAAACACCTGACTGCGACTGATTAGAATTGTCCTATGAGCCAACAATATCGTTGATTTGAGATTGAATGTCACATCAGTATGTACAGAGTTGTCAAGCATGTAACGATTGCATTCTATAATGGACTTTTCTGTCCTCCAGTCTGCACCAGCACTAGCCATTCTGGCAACCTTGACCTCTGTTTCGTCTGTTATGTTTTCTGCTGCAATTTTGGAATAAAATGCATTAGTCTTTTTTTATTTGCTGAAATTTTTATTAAAATATCTGTTACATAGAAAATAGTATTTTTGGTACCAATTTATAAATATAAAATTTATATATTTTTAACCTATAGGGTGTTGATAAAGGTTCATAATCTTTGCAACTCGAAAATTTTTAAGCAACCTTGATATATAAAATTATAAACAAGTTATTGTGCATATAAGTATATTCTTGCAGACATAAGACTGATTAGTGGTCTCTTTGCCTTTTATCTATTTGGCTCTGGTAAGCAAAGTTGCTAAGATAATAGCATGTTGCCAGGGGAGTGAATTAACCTATTGCAAATTCTAAATTACCTGATTACTTGGAAATCCAAATGAAACAATTCATTTTTTCATTGGAATTTTATTCTTTATTTGTTTCAGTGATGGTTAATGGTGTACAAACATGTATTCAATATTGATACATATAGTTCATAGTCTCTGTATTCGAAAAGATTGATACCTAAACACACATGATGGCCTTTATCAAATTTTAAAGGGGGTGTTTTCAACTTAAAGTGACTCAGCATGTGGTTTTTCAGATTGCAAAAGTAGATTAGCATTTTCTGTGAAGATTGGCATAATACTGACAAGCAAGGCGTATGGGTGGCATTTAATTGCTCACTACATTTGTACCACATCATTTTAACTCAGGTGGATAGTTGTCTCATTGGCAATCATTTACCACATTTCCACATTTTTATATGTAATCTATAAATGTTACTTAAAAAATCTCTGAAATAAAGTCAATGACTTTTGTGCAAAACATATGTATGTTTTGTGCATATAAATGCCCATCAAGGGTCTTTAATTGGAACAATAAATATTCTTATCCCTAATCTGCATGGAGTTAACACAAAATCCCCATTCTCCATCAAATGCAATGAAACGATAAATGCCATTTATGCTAATATATCCTTGTGGTCTATGTCTATGTATATGTATATGACGTACAAAATAACACGTCAATTTCATTCATTCTCTTAACTGCACTTAGAAATTATGTAACCTACAGCCTCGGAAAAGGGGTCATAAACCTTACGTCACAGTTATACAATTATTGTCTAAAGTCACATTTCAAAGATCAATCAGCAAGTTGTCAATCCCAACTAGTATGCTAGTATTTAGATCCTGATATTCCATAAAACTTTATCAGTGCACAGGTTTGTCTGTACTCAGAATACATTTTGTGGTTTTACCAAAGCTTCTAGTTACACACCTTTCCTGCCACCCCACACCCTAAATTTTCGTTCCTACGGTTACGGATCAATTCAAATGAAACTCTGTTGTTAATTTGTTTTGCTTTTTTTTTTGTTTTCTGACATGTCTGAAGACTGGAAAAAATGTACCTCAAAATTAAGGTAAGTTTGTAATTTTTTTAATATAAAACTTTTCTAGTTTTAGATGTATTCAAGAGTAGATTTTCAGTTGTAAACACAGCCATATTTGTCAATTCTTTTTGATGAACCTATAATTAGCAACTATGAGCCCTGATTATTTCCCTTGATATATATGGGATATACCTAACAAGACAGCAAAAATAACCAAACCTAAAAACTTTAGTCATAAATTATTTTTTTACCAGGAATAAATTATTTTATCAAACTACCTACCCAACATTTCTTTTTTAGGTGGGGGGAGGGGGCTACCAGAAGAAAGGGAACAAATCGTTTTATTTTTGTTGTTGAGGGGATGTAGGTTATGTCTTATGATGCACTAAACTCGGTTACGAGACTGCTCACATCTAAATATTGAAATAATAAATGCAAAAACAAGGAAGTAAAATATGATTTACATGAAAATTGAGATGATTCAAGCATTTGTAATGCCGTGCGAAGATATATTTGATTCTAAAATGTATTTTCTCTTTACTGTCAGAACTTAAAAATTATAGCATTTAGCATTTTACAACATGTTTTTGCTTTGCAATATAGAGGAAAAGAGAATTACTTACTTCCCCTTTTCATGAGTGATCTCATGAGGTGTCCCAGAAGACCACTAAATCGAGATGAACCAACACGACCCTTAACAGTTTAGACATATTGAAAATTCAGATCAAACACATCTGGGACTATTATACTAACGTTTCCCAGAACACATACAACAATATTCGATAATTTTTATAGATAGAAGTGATGTTGATGGTTTTCTGTATCTAAAGAAGAAGATAAATAGCGTAATATGATATCAGACATATTGAAACATGATGAAAACGTTTGGTCAAGTTTACTTTTTACCAGGCTATTCATGAGGCTATTCAAAACATCAAGGATTTATCTCACTATACAAATCCTTGAAAACATATAGACTTAGTTAAAAATACAGCTGTCGATCAATTATTCCATTATAAATTAAACTTCTTTTTAAGAGTGAATAAAAAGTATTAAATTTAAAAAGTACAATAAAAACCGTTACTTCAGACTGTTAAATAACAATTCAGCTCATTTCAATTCAATACTTTATTGCCGCAAAGAGCACAATGGAGGTGCGAGTTAAACAGCATGGCTTTCGGAACTATTTTTCAGTAACTACGGGTACACTCAGATCTCTATTTTGTTTCTCAGTTTAGGGTTTTTCATAGTTGTGTTTGTGCTTTGTATCGATCTGATGAGTTATAAGCCTTTTTAACTGTTTAATTTTATAGTTTGTTATAATGTTCTGCTGTTACACAGCGTACTTGTGTCCCAGATATATAAGGGGAGGGCTGCAAGCCCGCAAATGTGTTTACCCCGTAACATTATACATGCGCATGTCTGTCCCAAGTCAGGAGCCTGTAATTGTGTTGGTGTCGTTTGTTGCAGTTTTATCATAATTGTTTTTCGTTTATCATTTTGTATAGTTTGTTATTGTGTCGTGCTTTTTTACCATTGTCCCAGGATAGGATGCGGTTGGGGCGCCTGCTAACATGTTTAATACCGTTACATTCTGTATGTGCCTGTCCCAAGTCAAGAACCAGTAATGAAGTGGTTGTCGTTTGTTGCTGTATATCATTTTTGTTTTTCTTTTATTGTTTTGTTTATCAATCAAGACGTTAGTTTTCTCGTATGAATTGTTTTACACTTGTCTTTTCGGGATCTTTTGTGGCTTGCTATGCGGTTATGTGATTTGCTCATTGTAGAAGGCAACACGATGATCTATATCTACGTCTTTTTGGAGAGTTGTCGCATAAGCAATCACGCAACATCTTATCTTTATATTGAAAACAAACTCAATAATTGCTGCATTAACATGGAAGATGTAAGATGAATCCAAATGCTAAAGTCTTTCCTCTTCACAAGATCTAGCGAGAACACATTTAAAATATGCTAGTTCATTCCGGGACCCATTTAAAAAGCATAAATAGACAAATTGATCGAAAAAAAAGAAAACAACACCTTATATAAGCGCTTTTCTGGATTAACATTCATCAGGAACGCTCACAGCCGAATATTTGAGAGCCAAGGATGTATAAGAACCGAAACAGTTGAAGAGCTATATAAACTAGAGGCTCTCAAGAGCCTGTGTCGCTCACCTGATTCTACCTTGGTTTTGGAAATCATGTATAAATAGATTTAAATCATAACAGATACCCAAATAATGATTGAGACCAAATTTGGTTTAATATTGGCCCCGTAAATTAATAAACAAGAGTGCACACGCTGAAATGTCTCGCCTTCTTTACTTATCATTGATATTATGTTGATAGTCCTAAATATAAAGCTTTATTACAACTGTCACATAAACTTAACATTAACCAAGTAAACTAAACATTGACCAATGAACCATGAAAATGAGGTCAAGGTCAGATGAACCATGCTAGACAGGCATGTACAGCTAACAATTCTTCCATACAACAAATATAGTTGACCTATTGCTTATAGTTTAAGAAAAACAGACCAAAACACAAAAAATTAACACTGAGCAATGAACCTTGAAAATGAGGTCAAGGTCAAATAAAACCTGCGTGACTGACATATAGATCATAAAATATATCCATACACCAAATATAGTTGAACTATTGCATATAGTATTAGAAAAAAAGACCAAAACTCAAAAACTTAACTTTGACCACTGAACCATGAAAATGAGGTCAAGGTCAGATGACACCTGCCAGCTAGACATGTACACCTTACAATCATTCCATACACCAAATATAGTAGACCTATTGCATACAGTATAAGAAAAACAGACCAAAACACAAAAACTTAACTATAACCACTGAACCATGAAAATGAGGTCAAGGTCAGATGACACCTGCCAGTTGGACATGTACACCTTACAGTCCTTCCATACACCTAATATACTAGACCTATTGCTTATAGTATCTGAGATATGGACTTGACCACCAAAACTTAACCTTGTTCACTGATCCATGAAACAAGGTCGAGGTCAAGTGAAAACTGTCTGACGGGCATGAGGACCTTGCAAGGTACGCACATTCCAAATATAGTTATCCTATTACTTATAATAAGAGAGAATTTAACATTACAAAAAATCTTAACTTTTTTTTCAAGTAGTCACTGAACCATGAAAATGAGGTCAAGGACATTGGACATGTGACTGACGGAAACTTGGTAACATGAGGCATCCATATACAAAGTATGAAGCATCCAGATCTTCCACCTTCTAAAATATAAAGCTTTTAAGAAGTTAGCTAACGCCGCCGCCGCCGCAGTAGCCGCCGCCGCCGGATCACTATCCCTATGTCGAGCTTTCTGCAACAAAAGTTGCAGGCTCGACAAAAATCCTGGTTGCCATCTTGAACAGTAAATCGGCAGCAAAGTAGCAACACTTCATCAGCACCTCATATGGAACATTTATGCCATGTTTGGTTTCATTCCATTCAGTGCACCTCTAGAAGAAGCATTTGTATACGTATTTCCCATAGGGTCTTATGTTAAACTAAGTCCCCTGCTGGCAGCCATCTTGGATGAAGGTTCGTCTACAAAGTAACAACACTTGGTCAGCACCTCATAAGGAACATTCATGCCATGTTTGGTTTCATTCTTTTCAGTGGTTCTCTAAAAGAAGACATTTATATGTATTTCCCTTAGGGTCCTATGTTTAACTAAGTCCCCTGCTGGTGGCCAGTTTTCAGTTCGAAAGATTTGTTCTAAAACAGAAACAACTTCTAATGTCTGTGATTTTTTCCGGCGTCTGCTGCCAAGCAGCCATTTTGACGCTATTGCTGCTAAGGAAAAAGTAGTTCCAGTCTAATCCGCAGCAAATAACCGAAAACACCCGAAGGGCCAATGGCAGTGTTTGTAGAGAAAGGGAAGTATGACCCGAACGATACAGAACGCTGTATGGAGTTTGCTAAGTCCCCCGCTGGCGGCCATCTTGGATGATGGATCAGCTTCAAAGTAGCAACACTTGGTCAGCACCTCATAAGGAACATTCATGCCATGTTTGGTTACATTCCATTCAGTGGTTCTCTAAAAGAAGACATATGTATGTATTTCCCTTAGGGTCCTATGTTAAACTAAGTCCCCTGCTGGTGGCCATCTTTGATGATGGATCGGCTTCAAAGTAACAACACTTGGTCAGCATCTCATAAGGAACATTCATGCCATGTTTGGTTACATTCCATTCAGTGGTTCTCTAAAAGAAGACATTTGTATGTATTTCCCTTAGGGTCCTATGTTAAACTAAGTCCCCCGCTGGTTGGATGATGGGTCCACTTCAAAGTAACAACACTTGGTCAGCACCTCATCAGGAACATTCATGCCATGTGTGGTTTCATTCCATTCAGTGGATCTCTAAAAGAAGACATTTGTATGTATTTCCCGTAGGGTCCTATGTTAAACTAAGTCCCCCCCCCCCCGCTGGCGGCCATCTTGGACGTTGGATCTGCTTCAAAGTAACAACACTTGGTCAGCACCTCATAAGGAACATTCATGGCATGTTTGGTTTCATTCCATTCAGTGGTCTTCTAGAAGAAGTTCAAAATGTAAAAAGTTAACGACGACGACGACGACGACGACGACGACGACGACGACGGACGCCAAGTAATAAAAAGGACACCTAAAGAAAATAGCGCTAAATCCATCTAAGGCCAATATTACCTGAGGTATTTGAAACCTTAGTTTCTTTATAATTTCAATATTTATCAACGGACAACGATACCTTCGGGGACTGATAGTCCACCAGCAGAGGTATCGACCCAGTGATGTAAGAATTGAAAGAAAAAAACTCATTAAAGTTTCATGCGTCCGAGTTGTTTTAGAAAATGAGCAGAAACAGTTGTTAAATCCAGAAAAGCCCTTCGGACGCATGAAATTATTAAACGTGTTGTTTTCAATTTTTTGTTAAACAAATTCCAGTCTCGAACGAACTTATTAATTTTCCCTAATTGAGATTGAAATAATCAGATTTTCCGACATTGGCTTAATAGATATATACGCTAATATACTAAATATATATTTACATGTACACTGTGATTTTCATTGTTGTAATTACCAATTATGTCAATCAATTGTATCTGATTTTATGCCCTTTATGGGCCCTGTAATTTTGGAAATAAAAATATTCTATTTTATTCTATTCTATTCTATACAATTCTAAAAGGAAACAATTATGACGATCTGGCTCATTTCTCAAATTAATGGTAAAAACAGAAAACAGACAGTGAATAGTAAAAAGATCTTTATATTCACAAAGATTTAAAACATAAATATATGTAGATGAAAAATGGTTTGCCATAAGGAATGCAAAATCATGGGTTGGACTACACGTTAATCGGATAAATGCTTTTAGTACGGTAGAATATAGACACTAGGAAATTGAAGAAATACTTTATATATTCTGATCATCGAGCGATTGAGACAGGAATCAATGACAAAAAAAACAACAAAAAAAACAGAAAAAAAATAGTTATCATAAATGGTGTCTTCCAGATTGTCCCACTTTTTGAAATTACAGGTAAAAAAGTAAATAAATTTTGTGGGACAATTGGGAAGTTTAAATGTGGGACAATCGGGAATTGTTTTGAAAATGTGATTTATTCATCCTCCCCCCTCTTTTTGCACATTCTTTTAAAATATCAATGAGTGTAGTGTCTGCTAGATAATTTTTTCCTATGTCTATAATAGTGTAATTATTTTCAGTCTTGTCATATCTTGATTTTTATTTCCCATATGTTGGTGTATTATCCTTCATTTGATGAAAGCTTAAATTATCCGGTAGAACAAATTGCCCCAAATAGCGAAAATAGCATGAAAAGACGTTGCCTGATTAACAAATTGTAGAAATTGTGTATATGTATGCTATATAAAAAAATAGAACAAATTTTATTGTGCAAATGTTATCATATCATGCTGTTATGACTGTTAATTTGAATGTTACGTTGCCTACCAATGACCCTTAATTGGAATCATAAAAATGCCATAAAGGATACAATAGTGTAGTATATATACGCTTTTGAAAATGCATGAAGGAAACTGCGTCTAAACACAAATCATAGATGTATATTTGCATTTCGACTGCATTCTTGTTTAGTGTAATTTACGGTGTCTGAACCCCTTTGGTTAGATTTCGGGGTATGAAACGAGTTACTTGTAAATTGAACTGGCAGTGTGGTAAGAGTTTGTTTTTTCTTTAGCACCGTGTTGAAGACTTCCCTGTGACTTTGAGATTAAGGACAGAAGTAAAAGCGCTGTTTCTTTGCTTTTTTTTGTTGCTTTGCATGTACTGATTTTGTATCATGGATGGATACCCCATAAACTTTGTTTTTCTATTATGGCAGAAACGTATATCAATCATTGCCATAGCCGTGAACCCATAGAACAGCGTGTCGTCAGGCTATCGGTAAAAAGAGCAAGCCGAATTTGTTTCAATTATTTTTTTTGGGGGGAAAGCGCAAAAGTAATAGGTCGATATTGAAATTTTGTACATGTTTCTCCCGAGCATGCCCGAATGCATTGTTTATAATGTTGCTGCATGAAATTGGGTGAACCACAGTGCGATTTCATACCAGCAGGTTTTAAAAGTACGTTGATCTTGATTCAGTAACTGAAAGTATATAATCTTGTTTATTTCTAACTTGTGCTTTAGTTAAATGCTTTTCCTGTTATATTGATTTCATTTTATTGCTCTTTGTCAAATCTCTATGCGTTTTGTTATTTAACGGATTTCGGTTTTGGTTTTTAGGAAGATCTTTCATACTTAGATTTAGAACTGCAATATTTACATAGACTTTTTAATGTTGGGTCATGTGTTTGCCTGGTCTTTTTACGTCATTGAAATGATGTCTCCTTAAGATATACCAATCATCTTATCAATTTTTTAATCAAAATTCTCGCTTATTCATGACCCGGCTCATATTAGCTATACGGTAGTTTGACTCGTTTTTAACAAACAATTCTTATCTTTCCTGTGACAGATTCCTTTATTCGTAATTCGTATGAGGCTCTTCAATAATAAAAGGCAACTAAATTTAAAATTGGATCCTTGTATTCTGCTGCACATATAGACTATGCTTTGTACTAAGAACTTTCTCTTGTTTGCATAGTATAATCTCATTCTGGATGGATGCGTGTTGCTCAGTCTAATAGTCTTTTATGTTGTTTTTTGTATACTGATGTTATCTTAAACTGTTGTCTTTTTTGTCATGGCGTTCAGTTTGTCATCGACGTATGCATGACTTTGAATATCCCTTTGGAATCTTCCGCTTATCTTTTTTCTTCAAATTTTTATACTCTGGTACATCTTCTGTTGGTTGGGTCCAATTGTTTCTTATCACTGTACCATTTCCTATATTTCTTGGCGTCTAATGGGTTCGTGGTCTTTTGTCTTTTCTAGCTTAAAGTTTGTATCCTCTCTTTTGTTTTTCCTTGTACTTTCCCATAAACTTTGGCATTTTACATTTAACTTAATTTTATTTAAAACACAAATGAAACGTTTGCCTCATAAACATCATGATAACTGATGTTTTGCAATTAAATAATATTTAATTATATGATTGAAAATCAAGTGGTCGTCCCCTTATAACTTCACGATATAATCATGATAACCTACAACTTATTAACTAATGAAGCACGGAATATCATGGTTAAAAAAAAAAGGAAAATGCTCACCTTCAACTTATTTTACGAAAAAAAATATTACGTTGATTTCTTGTTTTTTAATAAGATGTTACAAAGAAAAGTTTTATTTACATAGTGTCTTTCGTCTTTTCACATTCATATATATTTATATATACATTTCTACATTTTTACATTGTATATAAACAATTATACATAGTAAATATTCTGTTTCTCTTTTCACTATAATCTTTAATGTTATCGATATTCGCTTGAATTGTTTCCATTAGATCAACTGTTATTCATTGTGTTGAAAATTACTTTAGCAAAGTTAAACACAAGCTTGCAGTTATAAAACTTAATACGATCAGTACAAGTCAGTATTTCAATTAAGTCTTATTTTCCTCGAGTTATTTTCACTCTTGAATCGAATTATTAATGCCATTAATCGAATTATTAATGCCATTTTTTATCTGCATATACTATCCGTCTTCCCAAAAATCATTTTCTTTCGACACTCACATCTGTTTAATGCTTTCGAGTTGGTATTACCTCGTGTTACAAGTTGACCGGCGGGTTCTTTGTGATTTTACAAATTTATCATTTTAAATCGGACTTCAATTCCGACACCTTGAAGTAAAAGTTCACGGCTCCTAATTTTGGAATTTTAAACACTGAACTACTTGTAATGTTTCAAAATCAATTTTACTCGGCTTTCTTTTCGTAACTACTGTTTCAGAATTTTAAATCTCTATACATGGGGATTTAAATAACACATCATCTTAACAGTATTAGGATTTAATCATAGAGTTTTTTTTTGCAATTTAAACCATTAGCCTGGAAGTAATGTTTTGACTATAAGCTATATGCTAGAAACTCGAAAAAACAAAGTATGCCCCATAAATACAGAAATTTAAAATAAAAAAGACAATTTTCAGGAGTTGAAGATGAATAAGCAGTAATGACTTAGATGTATGTAAAATATGTATTTTAGGTTTTAACAAGATGTATGATAAGAATCTATATATATTTAAAACAAAAGACGTATAATACTAATCACTTACTTTTGTATAAATTTTATTTCTACTGAATTAAGGTATTTTCTTTGTGGTGTAGTAAGGGAGATAGCCTGTAAATTCTTTGTAATAACTAAGATATATGTATAAATATAACATGGGACTTAATTCGAATTAACTCAGCATTGGTAACAGTTCTGTTCAATGTATTGTTTTATAATTTCGTTCCATTTTACAGATGTATATGTTCATTTTGTAATTGTTTTAATTAACGATAGTCCAAATGTCTAGACTATTTCAATAAAACTTACTTACTTACTTACTTATTGATTCATACTATTTGATAGTGATCACCAAGATATGAGGTTTAATGAAATAGACAGTCCCCGCCCGTCGAACCACACCTACAACTACACAGGTACACACCCTTACGGGGTACTATACCCAAGCCCTTCCTCAACAACTACTCAAGGTGTAATACAGCTGTTTGCCAGGGTCAGGTCAGGCGCCAAAAACGTACGCATCTTACTTGAATGCATAGAGCGATTTGTTTGAGAGGATCCTAGTTGGTTCATTTACTAATTAGGTTTATCATATTTGTTCTTCTTATTTACCAGAGTTGCAATCGGTTCATGCGTTCGCTCTTGGTGCCTTTGTGACTACCTTTCAAACAGGAGTCCCGGGAATTGACCACCTTCTGATGTTGTTAAATTCAAACCTAATTCATCATTTGTAATAAAAAATACCGATACTCCATTTTTAAAAACATTTGAAATACCGTTTGTACCAAAATAACTGGGAGGTCCCTCAAATAATGCTCTTATCGTGTAGACCCTTTCACTTTGTATTCTAATAGAAGGTTCAAGATCGAACTCGTATGGTGATGTGGAACCGTTCGTCGTTATATCTCTTTCTGACGAATGCATTAGAGATAACTGACCACCGAGATCTTCAAATATTTCTAAATGTATGTGATAGTCCCCCTCTCCCTCACAACTCCCATAAAGATATATGGAACAAAGATTTACATTTTGTAATGTCAAAAACGAAATTGATTCTGGCGTATGCATATCGTATGTTTTGCCTCTAACATATGAGTTTTTAGCAAACCGATATATTTCAAATCTATCCGATCGGTGAGTGAATACAGATGGAATTTGCTCCATTTCTGAAACATTGCGATCATTGCCCGATGTAGCACAATCGAGTTCTCCATCGACAGAAACGTTTGTACCGTCTAGAACTTCATTATGAGGTCTCAAATATTCTTTTGGTCTAACTTCCGCTCCACATGTCAAAAATTGAGAATGCACTCCTCTTGAAGTTCCTAATGGTCTTGGTAAATTCAAAGATTCCGAACCTTGATGAGGATTCTCTTCGATATGCGATGCTATATTTTCTACTATATCAATATAAAGATCTTGCGGTAAAAACTTTTTACAAACATTTAATAGATACGCTCTGTCCATTCTACCATAACGGATTAATTTCAGTATATCGCCTAAAACTTTCCACTGATTTTCTGGAAGTATATCAATTTCCTGTCTTTGGCATTCTCGTTCAGACCATAATATGACAGCGTCAAATATATCCTCCTCTCGAACCCCAAGTCTATTATTCGATATGATTGATTTGATATGTTCTGGCGAAAGTTCCTTAAATCCATCTGATTTTAAAACCTCTAAAGAATACCGAAATATATAATCTAAACAAAGTTTTACTGTTCCTTCGTCATCGGCATAACTAAGTATTATACAGACGTTTTCTACGGACATTCTTGTTTTTAATCTCTGTAAGCAACGTCTGACTAAGTCTGTTACTAAGTATTTTCGGGCGACATATAGAAGCTCGTAAGCGTCCTGTTCATCAAGTCTGGTTTGATCATAATACATGAACCTAAATTATAAAAAAGTACAAAATTCAATCATAAAAATAGTTATAAAGAAATTTTTGACAGCTCCTGACTAAAATCAATTGAACAGATACAATCATTGATAGACTATCTATACATAAACTTTTTAATTACACCATTTCTGTTCAAAGGGAAATAACTCAATCATATAATAAATATCACTTTTGGCTGCTGAAAGGTCTACAACTCAACAACGAGAAAGGCTAAAATCGTGAAAATTGAACTTGACCTTTATTTAGTCACAGGAAACAACATATCTAAATTTGAAATAATTTCGTCAAAGTGTTTTCATGTTAATGAACGGACAACGTTTGGCAGCCGCCCGCCCGCCGTACATCCCCAAATCAATAACCGATTTTTCCTTCGAAAATCCGGTTAATAAAATATCAATCGGTAATCGGAATATTTCGGGAAACATGGTACATTATCTAAAATCTGATCAAAGACCTCCATTCTTAAAATTTATACACTCTGACTCAAATTAATATAGCTTTCTATTTCGCATTACATTTTTACAGATTAAGTTACACATAAATGATTGACATTTTCGACTTGGCAAGTGTGGTTTAAACGAGCTTTCAGTAACTGCGAGTACTGATTTTGAGATCCGTTAAGTTCGTTTATGCTTTGTCAATGTTTGTGCCGAATTGATGAGTCAAGCCATTTTCCAGTTAGTTCTAAGGTTGTGCAGTAAACACCACTGTCTCAGCTTAGCGGAAGAGATGAGAGCTCACAAACATGTTTAATCCCGAAACATTCCTTATGTTTTATGTCCCAAGTCAGGGGCCTGTAATTCAGTGGTTGTCCTAGATTGCTGTCTATCATACTTGTTTTTCTTTCATTGTTTTTAGCATAAATTGGGTCGACGGTTTCCTATTTTGAATTGTTTCACATTTTTCATGCCGGGGTCTCTTATAGTTCACTTTATGGTATGTGCTTATTATTGGCCTTACGGTGACTTATAGTTGTTTACATCCTAGCCCCTATGTCTCTATAGTGTATAGCTGTCTCATTGGCAATCAAACCACATCTTCTTGTTTTTATATGAAATATTTTCAGAAAATTTGTTTTGTTGGTTTCTTGTCCTATTTTAATGTTCCATTTTGCAAGTTTTCAGTTGTTTGGCCAATATGCTAAGGTTATTTTTGCAAATGTTATACATGTTAGAAATGTTATTTCTAATTTAGTCAAATAGATCTATATTAAGGGTTTCTACGTACCGATTAGCGTTTAAAGAAGTCATATTTCTCTGTATTTATAATTATACATGAACATAATGATGTGATACTTACTCTAATAACCTCCGAAAAGCAGCTGGGTAAACATCAGGTATTTCAATATTATTTGAATGCTCATGTAACAAACCAACCAGCATGGCTTCAAACACCTCACTACGCGATATAAGTATGTATTTATGAGCCAATATCGGCTGTTTCTCCTTTCCTGAACCCACGATGAATGTTACATCACAATGAAGTTCATGTTCAAGCATATACCTGTTGCACTCGGCTGTGTTCTTTCCTTCTCTCCAATCAAAATTGTCTGGAGCTTGAAATCTATCATCCATGTTTTACTGATATCATTTAGTTTTTTATCTAGAAGAAAAGAAAATCTAGTAATTAAATACAATACTTTAAAGAATCGAAAGGAATATACTGTGCGACTAGGTTAAAAGGTACTGATATCTTAATTTGTAGATCTTATTCTAGCAGAATGCTGTTACTTATATGAACCATACCCAGCAGTTAAGTAAACTTGCAAACGTAAACTATTTTTTAAATTGGATAATTAAAATTAAAAATATACAGTTTTTACCTATCTACCATACTTTTCGATATAGTTGTCAAAACAAGAAAATTTGTCAAAAATAGTCATATAAGGGCAATAACTCAGTAAGGAGTAATCGATATGGTTTCGGTCCATATTGGCATTTTTTGTAGATCTTGTATAGTCAATCATGTTTGCCAGTAAGGCCAGATGAGAAAAAAAGTAACTTGACAAAATTACATATATAGTTCTTCGATGTTCGGAAAGCAGTGACATTCTAAATGTTGTAAACGGTGAAAGATGTTTTAATTGACACCTAACAACTTCGATAGATTCTGACATTACTGCATATCTATATGAAACTGAAATGCAGAGAAGAAATAAGTACCTAGTCCCAAACAATAACACATAATATTCTATGGGAAGTGAGAACATGAAAAACAGTGAGGAAATATAACAAATGTATTAAACTTCCAAAAAAATACTTCCTGTTGGCATCTTTATCAAAACTGGGTTTAATTTCAAAGGACGTAGCGTCAAATAGCCAATTTAGTTCCACGGATTTTTTTTTTCCTTTGAACAGTTTACACAACAAAAATGTAGAAATTACCAGGGTATTAACAGCAAAAATGTAGAAATTACCAGGGTATTCACTTCCATAGAAAGTGTTGTAACGACTTTAAGAATTTTCAACAGCAGTCGAAACATTCTTTTGTGCTTCGGTCCTCAGGATTGAAAAACGAAATTGCAAGCAAGGAAAATATCGTGTCTACAGATGAGAATTACTACGATAACTACACTAGCAATGACTAGTTAAATTTTGAAATATTTAAAAACAACGAATCAAGAGATGTGTTGGTGGTTCAAGTAACAATACAACTTATACGACCGACTATATAACAGCGGTCTTGTTCGTGAAAAAAGTATTTATATTTCAACTTCAGTAGCTATTTTATATTTTGAGGTGAACCACCATTTCAAAACCCTCTGAACCTGATTGTTGATAAATAAGTCAAATAAATAACTAACACACCATTTTTAATGACTCTTCTTTTTAAATAAAATTTTTAAAAATTCCATGATAATCATGACAATTAAAATAAAATGCTCCGCTGGGGCGCAGCTTGATACGACCGCAGAGGTCGAACCCTGAACAGATGGGGCAAGTATGGACACAACATTCAAGCTTGATACAGCACTGAATTTGGATTGTAATTAAATATTTGACACATCATAGGTTTCTGACACAGAATGAATGTGGTCTAAGAACTTAAAAAAATTTAATTTACCTATTCAAACCACATCATTATTATTTGCTTTTATATATAAATCAGAAATAACCAATTTAAAATGGAAAATTTTAAAGAAAAAAAAGGAAAAAAAAAATCCCCCCCCCCAATTTTTTGAACCCTCTTATGATTCATCACCCCCAAACTCAATCCCAGCCTTCCCTTTGTGGTATGGTACCTTGCAGTACAATCTCAGAGAGATTCATACACTTGAACACAAGTTATTGTCTGGAAACTAGAAAAAATGCTTGTTTTTTGGCCCCAAATTCCTAAACGTTTAGGGCAATTACCCCCAAACTCATACCCAGCTTTCCCTTTGTGATATGGAACCTTGCAGTACAATTTAATAAAGATCCATACACTTACACACAAGTTATTGTCCTGAAACTAGAAAAATGCTTGTTTTTTCCCCTTTATGGCCCCTAATTCCTAAAATTTTGAGGCAATTAACCCCCAAATCAATCCCAGCCTTCCCTTTGTGGTATGATACCTTGCAGTACAATTCCAGAGAGATCCATACACTTGAACACAAGTTATTGTCTGGAAACTAGAAAAATGCTTATTTTTTTTGGCCCCTTTTTGGTCCCTTATTCCTAAACGTTTTGGGCAATTACCCCCAAACTCAATTCCAGCTTTCCCTTCGTGATATGGAACCTTGCAGTACAATTTCATAAAGATCCATACACTTACACACATTTGTTTTTTGCCCCTTTTTTGCCCCTAATTCCTAAAATTTTGAGGCAATTACCCCCAAAATCAATCCCTGAATTCAATTTATGATATGGAACCTTGTGGTACAATGTCAGAGAGATCCATACACTAATACACAAGTTATGTCTGGAATTTACAAAAATGCTTATTTTTGGCCCCTTTTTGGCCCCTTATTCCTTAACTGTTGGTACCATAACCCCAAAAAGCAATCCCCACCTTCCTTTTGTGGTATTGAGCCTTATGGTAAAATTTCATAGAGATCCATTCACTTAAACTAAAGTTAGAGTACGAAAACCAATGTGTCTTCGGACGACGACGACGACTCCAACGTCATACCAATATACGACCACAAAATTTTTTTGCGGTCGTATAACAAAGTAATAACTCTACTTTTGAATAAATTTTAAAATCTAAGATCAAAGCAACTGGAGTTCTAAAATGCTGCAACTTGATCATCACAACAGGTATGTTTTTTAAACACATGCAGTGAACACATGTTCAAGTTAAATTCCAAGTTAAAGCTGTTTAAATTCCAAGTTAAAGCGGTGCAAATTTCGCTAAAAAAATTAATAAGATATCTTTGTGGAAAGCACGGGGGGTCTCAACATAGGATTTTGGGTAGAGTTGTGCAGCTGGGATTTAAAAAAACACCCCTAATTCATATATTGAATAATTGTGAAATCCTTACCTTTACATATATTTCACAGCGAAATCATAACCCATTCATATATATATCAGCTCAAGTAGTACCTATATGCATATACAATCTTATTATATATTAAAAACACTTTGGTCAATTACTACCTATTGATTATTTCCTCGGTAAAATTGCACCCCATTGATATATTTGACGTATCAAAAAAGGGACCCATTCCAGCGGCACATATGTATATACCTTCATATAGGAAGAGACACCCCGTGGTGGAAAGGAGACAGTTTCTATACGACATAAAGAACGAATATTAAATTGAATTTAATATTTTTGGGGGCGTTTATGTGGATCTATAGACATTATAATTCTTGACATTTTACCAGAAACTCAAAACAGAACTTACCAGTTTGAGCGATTTGCCCGGTTTGTCTCAGTTTTGAATGTGTACTTGAAGTACATGTATATATATATATTGTATAAAAACATGGTAAACATTCTAAAAATTGACACATGAACACCTCTGAATGACGCCTCCACTGCACACCTTTCCAACAAATGAATATATTCAAATGTATGCCCTAGGAGTGGTTCTTTTGACTGCTGTTATCAAATATAGATATTCAATAAGTGCTAATCATTTTGCGTTGTAAAAAGAATAAATTATATCATCGTTATATTTGAAGCTTACCGTGGATTTTAAAATACAAATATTGACATGGAGGTACTTAAATTGGCGTTTATATTGAAAAAATAGACAAACATTTATGTATTCCTTATTTAGTTTTGGAAACATTAAAATGGTTTTTTTGATTGAAAATTTCTTGTCGTACCGATAATATTTCAAGCAACAAACATGACAAAAGTACAATATATTCAAAAGTAAAACCGAATGCAGTGTAAACTTCCGCAAATATGAAAGAAAATTTACAAGCTTTGTTTCTTGTATCCCTTGTTCAAATATATAATGACTCTAAGTGAGTTCCGTTATACTGTTTTAGATATTGAAAACGAAACTTAGATTTAGCATCGGTTTTTACCTCTTCGATGAATATGAAAAAAATATAAATCCAAGACATTCCTAAATATGTAACTTTATTCGTCATTTTGATTTATTTTTAGCAAAGGGGATTTTTTTTTTCAAAGCGAGGTTAGAACTGATACATCTATGGACCGATTAAATGAGACAAACAAGTACTAACTTTCAACAGACGTGCAATTAAAACTTGAAGGAAAATTATCGATTATAAGAAGAGTGTATACGCAGTGTCGGATTCAGTTTGGTGTAGAGGGCGTAAACCTCAATTGATTGGAAAAATATCATTTGTTGGCATAAAATCTTCAACTCACTACGCTCGACTCAGATCACGGACAATTACGCCCCTTCCTCGAACCTTTGACCCACCGCTAATACAATAACCTGAATTAAGAATGTATCACCAACTTTTTTTACTATGGTTCATTAGGGATTTGGATACAGAGAGGACTTCAGACAATAATTTGTCCTTTGTATTTGTTAAACGTGATAAGTATGAAAACATGGATTGTTTACTTTAACTTTAATAACCACTTCCGCGGTTCATACAAAATGTGCTTCGGTCAACAGTTTTAGACCACAATAGAATTACAAAAGAAGCACTCAATTCTTATTTGTAAATAGTAGAAGTACCAATGTTGCAAAAGCGAAAAGGACGGATTATTGATAATTAAATAGAATAATACAGTTGATTCCCATAAACCCATTTCATGACAATGACGAATTCATACTTAAACACTTTTCTCTCAGCTTCAAAGGTCGTTTGAGTGAATTTTGAGCTTTCCGTTCACGAATTTTGCAGCATAAATATATATACATCATCAAATTAAATGTATCCATTCTTTAACGATTAAATACATGAAGTATGTCAGAAGTGAACCACTATTGGTCAGCTCGATAGCGAGAAATAGGGTGGAACTGTAACCCTGGTGGGAGAATAGCTGAACAAGGTTACGTTATCGTATACATAGGCATGATTGGGTAGAATATGTTTCTACTGACTTAAATGAAAGGGAACTCTGTAAATTATTTTAGTTATGCTAATGATATCTGTATTATATATACCCATCAGTTGAGGAGTTGCTAGTTCTTGTGAATAATTTGCTAATGAACATCTATCTTGTGTAATGCGATGTGTATGAT